CCAGGCTGACCTTGGCCTGGAACGATAACTTTTTTTTTCACTCACCATAATGCAGAGGTCAAGGTCAAAGGTAATCGAAAAAGGTCACTCTCCTGGTTTAGCGTGCACAATACTGGAGGTAATTTATCTTGTCACACAGCGATGGTCTTGGTGCAGGAGGAGGAGGAGAGAGGAAAGGTATAAGCGGGAGAGAGAGAGGGTGGTGGAAGGGAGGGGGGAACAGGGGGGAAGGAGGGAGGTAGGAGGTAAAGCTAATTACGGAGGGAATTAGTTCATCCTGGTGTGGGTATAGGTCAAGGATGACTTATTTCGTATATATACGTGTTCCGGGAAACAGAGGTAAGCATCAGACGTGTATGTCGACTTAGCGATACAAATACAGTGTAGAGTTACAGTGTGTGTGTGTATGTGTGTGTGTGTGTGCGTGTGTGTGTGTGTGTGTGTGTGTAATCCTTATTCACTTCGTTTTGAAAAAAATAACTGAAATTTGGTATGGAGGTGCGTGTCGCCCATACGTGTTCCACTTATGCGAATTCACCTTTTACGAACATAGAACACTTGCTGTCCTTAAGAGAGGCGTTTTTTCTTATTATTTTCTATTACTTAAAAAAATGCAACTAAAAAATCTTATCGCGACAGATTAGTTCGTTCAAGACTCTTACATGTCGATAATGTGAAATACTTCCCTATATATATATATGCAAGTAAATCACTGTAGGTGCGCGTGATCTAGGTATATGCTGATAACCACAAGGAAAGAAAATATAGTTGTGGTTCACATTCTTCAGGGTGAGCAGCTTGGTGACTGTACTCACCCTGAAGATGTGAATTACACGAAAGCGCTTGGGAACTTCGTGTTTTCTTCTTTCCTTGTGGTTATATATATATATATATATATATATATATATATATATATATATATATATATATATATATATATATATATATATATATATATATATATATATATATATACTGTATATGTCATAAAGTCTACTGTGTTGCCTGCTGGCGGTAAGGAGAGGCAAGGAGGAGAGAGTGAGAGGAACATATATTACCCCAGGGCGGGAGGCACCACGCAACCTCCCTCCGACACCATAACCCCACACCACCTCCTCGACCAAGTGGCAATTTAAAACTATTCCCAAACAATAGTCGACCTCGTTCTAAAAAAATTCCTTTTTCAAATCTAACATCCTCGTGTTTGACCTGCAGCCAGACTTTAGAGATTTCAGTCTTTTTCTTTTATTAGTTTTGAGCCAATATTGGAGTTGGGAAGAATGTTCTCTACAATAGTTTAAAAATTCGAAATTGGTTAATTCAATTCATAGTTCCTAATGCTATTAATATAAGTAAAACAAACTTTATAGATATCCAAATGTTTATCAGTATTACAATATAATAAATGTTTTACACACTATTAATTAAAGAGATTTTTGCCCAGCAAAATTTGCAACTCTAACAGGAGTCATAACTCGGTAAAATAAAGCTGGAAAACTCATTATTATTATTATTTCGCCTTATATTCATTTAACAAAAGCCTTGTATGAAAGGGCAAGCATTTTAAATCATAAAGCTATATTCTGCTGCACGTTAAATTAAATTAGTAATCTGAAAATTCAAAATGAAGAAAAAATTTATTATGTCATATATCGTCAAGAGGATTAACAATTTCTGACCAGCGATTCAGTCTAAAAGGAAATGACTCTCACACCCAACAAGCAAAGTCCTCATGTCAGCGTTCAGGCCATATATCTCGCCACATGTTCCTAAACAATGAGACAAATGTTGTGAACCCAAAGCACTACCTGTCCATATACATATATCTGTTAATGGAGTTATGTAAACTTTGTAAATAATAATAATAATAATAAACCTTAGAACAAATAAACATACCTGTATATTTAACTAACAATTGAGACACTACTCGAGTGACGAAAATAAATTGCGTAACGAACAATGCTCTACAAACGCTGGGATAATATATTTACTAAGAGAACGATAAAATAACGATGCGCTTCGTTATGAAATTCTCACATTATTTTAGAGATGGAACTAATGATTTAACAACAAGAGGATATCATAAAGGAACATAAAATTACCTTTCTGACGCACTTTTTATGGGTCATTGTGTCGTGGTCAGGAGAGAGAGAGAGAGAGAGAGAGAGAGAGAGAGAGAGAGAGAGAGAGAGAGAGAGAGAGAGAGAGAGAGAGAGAGAGAGAGAGGAGACTTAATGTTATAGGAACTATGTATGTATCTCCACTCGGGGTGCTGCCCCCCCCCCCTCCCCCCGGAGGAAAGGTGGAATTACCAAAGTTATTTACTGGCATTCTGGACCAGCTGGCACTCTCCCACGCCCGAAAGTGTCACCGTCGCTCACTGGGACATGTCTTGCTGGCCCACTGGACCAGCTGGCACTCTCCCACGCCCGAAAGTGTCACCGTCGCTCACAGATACACACAGTGCAGGCCGCATGGTGTCCTGCAGAGTCACTGAGAGCTTCGTATGTACCGTATATACGTGTTCCACTTATGCATCAAGGGATAATACTTGTAATTTTCTCGAGTTACAACTCCTGGAAGCGAATTCAACTTTTACGAACAATAACTTGTTGTCCTTAAGAGAGGAGTTTTGTCTTATTATTCTCAATTACTTAATAAAATACATATTCAAAATCCTATCACGAGAGACCAGTTCCATCAAGACTCTTACATGTCGATGATGTGTAATAGGACGAAGGACATTTATCTGATGGAAGTTATCAGTCCTGGGATGATTCTTATTAATTTTCAAGCCCAGAAACAACATACATAGAATATACTGCACACTTGTACCCCTTCCCACATATCCATTCCAAACCACATATATTTCAGGCTTATTGTGGCGCCTCAGTGATACCTGTTGAATGCACACGTTGGTTACCTTCACTACAATAGTTCTCTTTTTCACATTATAATCTACTAGAATAAAACAAAAAAAATAGGAAAAAAAATAGCGTTGGAATGACCTCAGATAGCAGCTGGCCAGGGTGGAGGTGAGTAAGGTGGAGGGTGGAATACTGAGTGGTGTGGATTACATGAGTCAAGTGAGGAGATGCAGTATGGGACTGAGCTGAGGACAATGGAGGTGTGTGGGATATGTGTGGGTTAGGTGTGAGGGAGGTGTGGGTTAGGTGTGGGTTAGGTGTGAGGGAGATGTGGGTTAGGTGTGGGTTAGGTGTGGGTTAGGTGTGATGGAGGTGTGGGTTAGGTGTGGGTTAGGTGTGAGGGAGGTGTGGGTGAGGTGTGAGGTAAGAGTAAGGGAAAAAGTGTGATGGAGGTGTATGGAAGTTTGAGGGAACTGTGAGGGAGGTGTGATGGAGAAAGTGACGCGAAAGAGGGAGACGGGTAGAATGAATGATGATAGATGCTGTGGTTGGTGAGAGTAATATCTACTGTATGGGTATCTCTCTCTCTCTCTCTCTCTCTCTCTCTCTCTCTCTCTATAACAGTGAGTGTTCACAGAAAAACAAGAGTAAAACACACACAAAACCACAAAACCATAAAACCATAAATAACAAACATAAAAAAACAGTAAAAGAAAGATGTATAAATATGAAACAATAGAAAACACCGAGAATGATAAGCATAAAAAGGAAATATAAAAAAATTAAATGAATGAAACAAACAAAAACAATCCCAGGTGTTAACAAGAGACAATATTGGTGGACAGGTAAAAAGATATTAAGGTAAATATCAGTTTACCTGTAAGGGCTGGTACAAAGAGGCTGATTCTCCTTAGTGGAATATTAAGTTGCATCTACAAGTGGCGGGTCAGCAGGAGGGTTAGGGTGGGGGGGGTAGGAGACTCTTACCTGCCTCCCTCTTGCTGTAGGTCCTCTTAAGACGGGATGAAAGGCTTGATAAGAGAGTGTGTGTGTGAGGGAGGGAGGGAAGGTGACTTAGGCAACTTGAGGTTTATTACGACTCTGTCTGAGAACACTTGACTGGTGCCACTGAGAGGGAGGATGACACGGTGGGAGGATGGCACGGTGGGAGGATGACACGGTGAGAGGATGACACGGTGGGAGGATGACACGGTGGGAGGATGATGACACGGTGGGAGGATGGCACTGGAGGATGACACGGTGGGAGGATGATGACACGGTGGGAGGATGACACGGTGGGAGGAGGATGACACGGTGGGAGGATGACACGGTGGGAGGATGATGACACGGTGGGAGGATGATGACACGGTGGGAGGATGGCACGGTGGGAGGATGATGACACGGTGGGAGGATGATGACACGGTGGGATGATGACACGGTGGGGATGACGGTGGAGGATTACACACGGTGGGAGGATGATGACACGGTGGGATGATGACACGGTGGAGGATGATGACACGGTGGGAGGATGATGACACGGTGGGAGGATGATGACACGGTGGGAGGATGATGACACGGTGGTGGGATGATGACACGGTGGGAGGATGATGACACGGTGGGAGGATGATGACACGGTGGGAAGATGATGACACGGTGGGAGGATGATGACACGGTGGGAGGATGATGACACGGTGGGAGGATGATGACACGGTGGGATGATGATGACACGGTGGGAGGATGATGACACGGTGGGAGGATGATGACACGGTGGGAAACAAATATAATAAAGTAACTTACAATATACTTACAATAAACATAATGTATGACATAGCCTAAAAGTGTTGTTGCGTGTGTTGGTACAAAAGTGAGGAAATGTTTACTATAATACTTATCTGGGCTCCTGGGGGATAACTATTCTCTTCTAAGTGCCATGAAAATCCTTAAGATTCTTTGGGGATTATCTTACTCACCCTGGGGACACACACACTCTCAACAAGGACGCTTTAACACACATGCGGGTCTCCCTAACAACCATTGAACTAGTTTGGGGATGTAATTATGATGTATATTCTCTTGTGTTACAGATTTTACTGGACTATAACTTGTTGTTAATATTGTGATCTGGTGTTTCAGGGATGTACGTGGTGGTTGTGATGGTGGTAGTGGTGGCAGGGTGTTGGGCCAGTCCCCTACCAATCAGGGTGTCCGCTAAAGCCTCACACCAGGAGCGACTTGCTGCTGCCCACAACCTCCTCACTCAGTCTCCTCTCATTGACGGGTGAGTTACAGTTGTTTCTTCACCTGCCATTAACACCTGCACAGCGTTACAAGCGGGTACCCACTAGAAGTTCATCTTTCTTAATTTTGTCGCTTTACAGTTGCTACGTAAATTTATCCAGTTGCTAAGGACTTGATGTTATCTTAATGTTTATTCGAGGCGTCGTGTCTTTTTTTTCTTAGTTTCAAGTCAACCATTTACAAGTAGTCATCATACGAACCCTTGAAAGTCTGGAGCCTAGGCAGCGTATACTAAGGAAATCATTTAACGTCATCGAAAAACAATGCCCAGATTTTAAATGGTTATATATTAAGATGAGGGAATTCTTTTTTCGATGACCAATGTAATGCTCAACAGATGCATAACCAAACCAGTGTTGTCCTGTTACCCTATTTTCCACTTCTGCCTGACCCATTACCTAACATGAACCCACAGTAGCTGCCTCTGAGAGATAGCTAAAGCAGGTCACCACAGCTTGGGTTAAAAGGATTTCGATAACTTAATCATGAAAACAAACAAATGCATTTCTGACTTTTACAGAACTTACTGGGATGTTTATTTATTCACGAAGAAACAAAAAAATCAGTAAAAACTAAAACTTTTGGCTACCAAGATTTGAGTTTTATGTTTATGAAACAATAAATAAAACAAGAACAATAACTACTTTTGGTTTTGTCAAGCCTTTTAAGTTAACATAATTTATAAAAAAAAAAAACACAGTAATATCAGAGACCAGCAGCTGTTGAGGGAGACGACAGATACTCAGTTCGCGGTTTGGTGACAGAAACAGTAAATTGCATTTCACTTTTATCTGGATACAAAATCATAAATAAAAAAATAACCTTCCTCTTGGATATTACGGAAAAATAGGGAGCCTACATGGTTAATTCTAATGAAAATATGATGTTGACATGAATTTCACGTTTACTCATTAAAAACTTCCATTTAATTATGAGTTCTGGTGATATGGCGTCACCTAATACGTGTTCATAAAAGTACATAAGAAGTACATTAATTTAGTCACCTTCCTCGTTATTTTCTTCAGATTGTACATTGTGAGTTCCTGCTTTTTCCACTTCCTATTTTAAGCATCTTACGCAATAAATAACAATAAATTTAAGAGAAAGTTTTAATAGACTTTGTGCTATGCTGTTTTGTACATACTTTTCTAGCTGTATATAAAAGTATGCAGGTGTTGTGTGACGGGGCATGTATACAGTACTGTGTTTCACTCTACCTGTAGTATCTCCTCTCACTCTTCTGCTCAGTCGCACTCACTCCTCATGCCCACTCACTCCTCACCCCCACTCACTCCTCACCTCCAGTCATACAGGTGGTAATGGATCATCACAAGTCACTCGGACCCTTAGTGTTGGATGCTGTGTTTACAACTGATGCTCTTTTGTCAACACGCTGATGCTGAGACACAACTCTCTTAGTACTGATGTTTGTATTCATGGCAAGTGTGGTATATTTCCCTACACTGTAATCTATTTCCCTCTACTGCAATATATATATATATATATATATATATATATATATATATATATATATATATATATATATATATATATATATATATATATATATATATCTTCATTTTTGCCGAAATATATTTCCCTATACTGTAACATATTTGTGTTTAATCATCCCGGTAAATGAATATTGTAAATAGTCTTGAGTACATATTGTGTTACATCTAAGTGGAACCCATTTGGAAGGCCACCAGGAGGAAGGTTCGCTCTGAATGAGGTAGAAACTCAACATAGATCGATATGACGTGCAACAAAATTGACTTCATCGGGTCATGGCAAGGTATAGACGTGTATGTGGTTTATCTAGGCCCAGGGGCCATGGCAGATGTGTTTTGTGTTGTTAATTTGATCTGGGTTTATGTTACGTGTTGTTGTTATATTTGTTTATGTTAAGCATTGTTTTTCTTACTTCCCGTACACAAAAAAGGTCAGGTTAGGTCTATGACTCAGATAGGTCCTAAGTCAGCTGATCTTTCAATAAACCCAAGAAATACTACATTTGTCATTAACTCATCATGTAACCAGGTGAAAATATTTAAATAACAATAATGAAATCTTTTAAGTAGTTTACCCCTCAAAACGTTTTTTTTTCTAAAGGCCTTCTCCCCAAAATAATCATTAATACAACCTTGATTATCTGAAATACTGCCTTGATCTCTGAAGTCCCTGAACTATCAACACGCCCAGTACTGCCCAGTAAGACCCTCCCCAAATTTATGCTCTCACACTAATACTGAAATTAAGCCATCGCAACTGTGGCGAGTTACAAAGTGGATATGAACTTTATCTCGGATTTACTGACGGGCGCACAGATGGAGAGACGGACGGACGGACGGACAAACACACAGCATCATTGCTATATGTCCCTAAACTTTCGGTCCGGGAGGAATAACGAGAGATAAAGATTTAACACCGGTCAACAAGGAACGACGCTTCTAATACAGTGAAACGAATGACTTTCTATCTTCATAAAACTTAAAAAAATGGTGTATAATGCAAGCTTAGAAAAACGTGGCGTCCCTAAAAATTACATTGAAAAATACTTTGACGTTCTTGAAACACGAGGAGGTGGTCCAATGCTCCCGAGGTGTGAGGACGTTCCTGAGGCATGAGTGTGAGGACGCCCCCGCACATCTAAAAGAGAAGACTCAACTCACTGAAGACATTGGTCTCTAATGCTGAGCTGTGATGGTCAATACTGAGAATTTTCAAGATCAAATGGTTCTCTGCCCCAAAAGACCTTAATCCCAACCGCCCCTGAGGCATTATGACCCTGAGCATTACGGTTGGAGCCCATTAAAATTGGTATTCAATAGAATTGGTAGTGAACTGGGATTGGGACCTGTTATTACAAAGCTACAATCCCAATGGTTAGGTTAGGTTGTTACCAATTAGATCTGGGATCTGTTTGGCGAATCAACAGCTGATAGAAAGGACACGACGCCTCCAAAACACGATGCCAATTAGCTAATAGCCTGTGAAGCAAGATAATTAAACCATGACAGCATGGTGAGGGTCGTTTTATCTCAATGAAGCAAGAACTTTCCATGCAGGAGAGATACGGATGCTTCTAAAACAAGTGAGGCTCTGACAGGAAGAAGGTGGGAGGGGGAGGACTCCGATACCCTCATTGACGGCGGGAGGAGAGGGGGGGGGGAGGAAACTTTCATATAGATAGCTACGGGACCACAGACAACCACAAAGACGGTGTAAGGATAAGGAGTGGGTCCGACGTCCGCGTGAACGAGTGGGGGGCATCACGTTGACTCACTGATAAGGGAGGGACGCCGACGTCCTCAAAGATGGAGAGGAAAACTGTAACGTTCCTTTAAAACTGTTGTAGGATGAGAAGGTCTCCAGACTTAGCTGATGAATAAATCGATAATTAATTAATGAATACGATAACTTGGACGTACCTGAGTTACGGTGTGTTAATGTCCCTGGATGAGCTGTTTTATCTCACACTTATCTGGAAAAAGAAAAGAAAAATCCAGTTGAGATTACTTGCCGTCTATCACACACACACACACACACACACGATTATTCACATTAGCTTCCAAGAACAATGAACCAATGAAGTTAAGCGTTGGTTTATACCAAATGGATGACTAAGAGAACTTGTTTATTATGTCAAGAATCCTAACACTTTTATGACACCTCATGGCACTTAATGACACCTTCCTGTACTCCATGACACACTTTATACTTTTCATTAGTTCAAGACAATTTGCAACACTTTACGATATTAATGACACTTTAGAACACTTTAGGCAACTGACACTTTAGGCCACTTTGACACTTCATGACACTTTGACACCTTAAGACATTTCAAAACACCTGACACTTGATAGAACTTTTTTCATTGTGCACCACATCTTTAGTCATTATACGCAACTTATTCAACTTATTGGCACTTTATCAGATCTACTGGTACTTAAAAGCACTTTATAAAACTTTTGGATATTACATGAATCATTGTAACTTAACGTGACACATTATGACACTCTCAATACCCTATGCTACTTTATGACACTTTATACCACTCTGACACGTATGGGTGTTTCTGGCGGCCACAATTTCTTATGACACAAAAGTATTCGTGACTCAAACAACAATACACATCACTTATAAAACACTATAACAAGCAGTTTACAACACTTATAAACACTTTACTACACTTACAAACACTTCATAATACTTTGGAGACTCGTCATTTTCAGTCTCTTCACCGGATATCTGTTTGTCTATAAGCCTCCGTGTAGGTTCGTCTAGTTAGAGGCCTCTGTTGATAAAAAATTCTCATAAATGCGAAAGGAGGCAGATTCAAGACTTAACGAACCAGCCAAACCTCATCCCGGTGGTATAATAGAGTTTGGTTGTGTTTTACTTATTCGTTTCGCCACACATGTCTCAAAGTGGTGTCAGTCCACTGGTGACAAAAAGTATCCAAAATATATTATATTGATTAACCCACTTTATTTGCTTATTAAAAACAATCAAATAAGACGGGAACAAACAGAAATAAGATAAACTGTATTAACCATGACCATTAACGATAGAACACATTTTAAGTTACTTTCATATTCCTAAAGTCAACGCTTTAGAAGACGTGTGGGTTGTCTCAGCGAACAACCCTGACTGCCGCGCCATCTCTCGAGAGGTCCCATTTCATAGAAAACATACATGGTGCTTAAGAAAACGGATTATATTTTTACCTTAACTATTTTAACTATTTACGTTTTACAGCCACAAAGCTCCCTCATCATAGAAAACGTGTAGCTGTCTAGAGAACGATCATCTCTAGGGTAGACTCCTGTCATAAGCCGTATACGTCTTTATTCTCAGCATTTTTTGCATAAATATATATGGAAGGAATATACATGATTGTATTTTTGCCCAACTCGTACCAATGATTTACGGATTATAATTTTTAGACAGAAATCGGGTAAATAAGACCATTGTTTG